TTTTATGTGTGTCATTGATCCTAATCCACCCTGTAATCTGGTGTTTGTAGAGCATTGCGACTCGTACAACTTATTCTCACAAATATCAAACCTCATTTACTAATTAATTTTTTGTGTGAATATGAAGAGTCCAAGCATTACTTTTTTATGTTTATTGTATAGCTATATTTAGCCTTGATATCCATGATTTTTTAAAACAAAATCTCACCGTTAGATTTCGGGCTATTCATGTTTACTCATTTGTCTAATTGGAAAACAATGCAAATCTCATTTTTTCAAAGGAAAAAAATTGAAATTCTAAGACGGTGAAAAATCATTAAAAAATACACAGATTCAGAATCCGGCAAGCATTTTCCCTTATTCCTCTCCGTTAAGAAGTTTTGCAAGGTGTTGGATTCCTTTAAGAATGAATAACATTACAATTTTCTTTAATAATCTCTCATATCATTTCAAACAAACATATCACAATTTAATTGTTGCATTTCCATTACTTGGAACCGATTTACGTTCAAATTGCTTTAACAATGTCAAATAACATTTACAGCAAAGTAATAATCATGACGCATGGCAATTTTTTGCATTGCTGTGCGCGCATCAACTTTTTGTATAATACCATGACGAGTGCAACATTTTACAAGCTGCGCAGAAAATTCACAGATAATTTATTGAATTGCTTGACGTGAAAACATTAGGTATATACTATATTTGAATAAAGGTCTCAGTAAAAGTCTATTTGTATTAACATTTAATGAAAAACAAAAATCGCATAATTCACCTTTTTAAAATCCCAAATCACAAACTTTGAGCGCTTAATTTAGGAATTTACAATGCAAAAAATTGAAATGCCAGACATGAATATATATCAAATGTAAAATGCACAAGTGTCTCCACAGTGTTCTACACAGTGGTGCATTTCTCCACGTATTTATAGCCAAATTCTGGTCCCGCTCCGACACCTCTATACCAACGCCAAAGCAAAGTTCATCGCCGCCATGGAACGCTGCGACAACGTCCGACACCGTTCCAACAACCCCATGTACGCTGATAAAACGCTAACAACCGCTCCACCGACGTTTGTGCAACGTTTAATCGCCGCCCGGGCAACGCTGGCGAAGCAGCGGTGGTCCAGCGTTTAAGATTTCTGCGTTGGTCTAGCGGATTCAAGCGTCCACGAACTTGCGTCTAGCGGTGCCAAACTTTGACTGGGCGTTGGTGGAGCGGTGATAAACTTTGCCAGGGCGTAAAATTGTCCCTTTTTCAACGCTCGCAATATTTTGAGCAGCTCAAAACTTTTGGAGCGTTAGGATGGCCACTCGAGAAACATCCGCGTTGGCCGAGCGTTTACAGCGTTGCTTTAACGGATGCCAACTTTTGTTAAACGGTGGTGAACGTTTACGAGCGTTGATGATTTTTTTCAACGTTCAAAGAACGCTCCAGCAACGTTTAGGCGGTGTGACCGGGCCTTAAATATCAAGTCAAGGTCAATGCGAATAGGTCAAATTGGATATTTCCATTGATCTCTATGGGATACATATTTTTAAATATGGTTACCGAGGTGAAGCATCCCATGGTATCCACCAAACAACAATGACCCTGACAACAAATTATTTATTAGCTAGTGGGAACTGTTTTAGTGGTTATTGTTTTTATTGCATAATAACTTCCATATAGATATAGTTAACATTATTAAGGAAGACTCAGGCTCCAAGTGTGATTTACCCCCCCCCCGCCGTGGGGTTCTTAGACTCTAAAAAAGTGCACGTTTCGCAGGTTGTTACCCCATCCTGATTTAACTGTTTGTTTGCATCAACCTGTAATATATCCAAGTTATCAATAATAAACTTTTTAATCAAAGTTCGATATCTAAACATCTCCCAGTGTGAGTTTTCTAACAAAAGTTCATAGCTAACATGATTACGATCAAAATTTTCTAAATGTAATTTTTATTTGTGTTGTTATAAAATAATTTTCTCCTGGTTCTAGTTTTAACGATACGTACATTATAAATCGAGGAACTTTATTATTTTTCTCTAATGCTTCTTGTTATTTCGATTTGCACAATTTAAAGTATCATTTTTCAATAATATCAAAAACTTCATTGTCAAACAGAACTTTGGAAAATTGTTTTTAGTGCCTCACAAAGACAGCTTTGTTATGAAACATGTTATTGAATATGCACTTGTCAAACGTGTACAGATGTCATCTTAGACCTTGATGTTTTAAACAATGTTTTTAACTTAAATATTTTAAACCAAACATTGTGATTACGCTGACAGGTACAGTGTACCTGTACATCTTAGATCTTAATGTTTTAAACTTTAATATTTTAAGATCTCGATGTTTTAAACTTACATTGTGATTACGCTGACTTAAAACTTCGGATGGTCTGAGTATGCACTTGTCAAACGGGTACAGGTGTCATCTTAAATCTTGATGTTTTAAACATCAATATTTCAAATCAAACGTTGTGATTACGCTGACGTAAAACTTCGGATGGTCTGAGTATGCACTTGTCAAACGGGTACAGGTGTCATCTTAAATCTTGATGTTTTAAACATCAATATTTCAAATCAAACATTGTGATTACGCTGATTTAAAACTTCGGATGGTCTGAGTATGCACTTGTCAAACGGGTACAGGTGTCATCTTAGATCCTGATGTTTTAAACATCAATATTTCAAATAAAGCATTGTAATAACGCTGACGTAAAACTTCGGATGGTCTGAGTATGCACTTGTCAAACGGGTACAGGTGTCATCTTAAATCCTGATGTTTTAAACATCAATATTTCAAATCAAACGTTGTGATTACGCTGTCGTAAAACTTCGGATAATCTGTATATGCACTTGTCAAACAGGTACAGGTGTCATCTTAGATCTTGATCGACGTTAATATTTCAAATCAAACGTTGTGATTACGCTGACGTAAAACTTCGGATGGTCTGAGTATGCACTTGTCAAACGGGTACAGGTGTCATCTTAAATCCTGATGTTTTAAACATCAATATTTCAAATCAAACGTTGTGATTACGCTGTCGTAAAACTTCGGATAATCTGTATATGCACTTGTCAAACGGGTACAGGTGTCATCTTAGATCTTGATCGACGTTAATATTTCAAATCAAACGTTGTGATTACGCTGACGTAAAACTTCGGATGGTCTGAGTATGCACTTGTCAAACGGGTACAGGTGCCATCTTAAATCTTGATGTTTTAAACATCAATATTTCAAATCAAACATTGTGATTACGCTGTCGTAAAACTTCGGATAATCTGTATATGCACTTGTCAAACAGGTACAGGTGTCATCTTAGATCTTGATCGACGTTAATATTTCAAATCAAACGTTGTGATTACGCTGACGTAAAACTTCGGATGGTCTGAGTATGCACTTGTCAAACGGGTACAGGTGCCATCTTAAATCTTGATGTTTTAAACATCAATATTTCAAATCAAACATTGTGATTACGCTGTCGTAAAACTTCGGATAATCTGTATATGCACTTGTCAAACGGGTACAGGTGTCATCTTAGATTTTGATGTTCTAAGCGTTGATATTTTAAGATCTTGATGTTTTAAACTTTTATATTTGAGATCAAACATGTCATTGAATATCCACTTGTCGGACTGGTACAGGTGTCATCTTAGATCTTGATGTTTTTATATTTTAAATCAAATTTAGTGATTACGCTGACGTGAATAGAATTATTCTCATTTTTTGTCTCAAATCATCCCATTTTCACAAAACCAGTTACATGAACTAGTAGTTACTAGATACTATATATCTAACATGAACACGCTCGGTACGATAATGATATCGAAAGTCTTACCTGATCTTTGCATTTCAACCTTGTTCACAGAGATTTTGTATTATTTTTCTATTTATCCACTACTGTAGGTGTATGTAAGCTGTAAAATGTAAATATGCGAAATCTCTCTAGTATATTCAATTTATGTTTGATAAAAAACGTTTGAACAACGATTAAAAATAATTGGGATCTAAATCACATCTTAAAAAATAGAATTTAAAAAATGCATCAGATTCTAAGATTACCGTTATGTGTGATGTTATGGATGATCACAATAGGATTAAACAATAAACAAAATTGCTCAAACGAAATACTTCAGATGATTCTTATTTTTAATGTAGCTTTTATATGAATATATGTGAAGGTGGAACATCCCTGCGTTTTTTACGCTGAGGAAAAATTCAAGCACTAGTAATAGAAGGCACTGCATATTGTAAATTGCACATTCTAGTTTTTATTTAGAATTTATATCTAAACATCTGAAAGAGTATTGGGTAGGACAACGGGAAACATTGGAACGTGCATGATTTATTTATGTTGCATCACTGTGTGGACTTTCAAACTGCATCTTAACTTATTTTCAGAGTTTTCCAATGATTGTAGAGACTTAATAAGAACTAACATAGAGTTGAATTGATTGCTTTGAACGACCAAATGAAGTATTGGGTACATGTTTGCTACACGCCATAATGGAAATAAGGTCATTGCCAGCTTTTGCCATGTGGGGTGGCGTCAGAGTTTAAAAAATATCAGGGGTCCAAAAACCACTCTAAAAGTGCTGAAGATGCTCTTGTGACGCATTGAATTAGTAATTTGATAAAAAACATAGATTTATGAAAATATAATAATAATTTATTAATAATATTATTAATGCATACAGAAAGTTTAACAATCATTTACATACATTTAACTAGATACAAATTAATAAATAAGCCCAGCAAGCCCAGCATATCGTATGATATAGTATTTTGCAAATAATGTCCCGTAGGCGAGCATTTGGAGCAACATATAAAGCCCATGCTAGATTTTCACATTCATTTCCATCCATTCTCACGTTCACATTCAATTTTGACATCACACTCATCATTCAATTGCAACCAAACATGTGAAAGACAATCATATGCATTATGTATCTTGGGTGGGCGTGTTCCATAGAGTAAATAAGTCCGCATATAGTTAGCATGTCCATTATTCAGTTTATATCACAAATTCTTCAGGACTTTTTAAGACGCGTGATATATCTTCCAAAATGTCACCTTCTGTCATCGGAAACGATATTTCAGAAACGCTGGATGTTGATTTGTCGTCTGCGAATCCGGAATCATTTGGACTCGGTGGAAGTCCGTGCATCCAAGATTCTGTCATCTGAAGGAAAATACAAAAAGATATCCATGAAAATATTGAACAGAATTAAAATTAACACATACTTTTAAAATACTTTTAAACGTCGAATTGACGTTGTTAATATTGTTTTATGTAAACATTAGTATGGAACGTGTGGGATGTGACAATAACTATTGCTTTGTAACAGTTCATCAAAATAATTTGCTTTCTCGTGAAACCCATGTTAAAGCAATTCAAATACATATTACTAAAAGTCAATTCATTTCAGAGGATTTTTTCTTGGTCAGTTATTCTAAAGAAGTCCATTTGAAACATTTAGAAGAAGAGCAAATTCTACTTACTTGATAAGGTGTAGTATTTTCTTGGAGGAATGTTTGAATGGTGTTTGGATAATATTCTGTCACTGTTTGTTGGGATGCTGTTGTTTCCATAGTCGTCCAGGATTCCGAATGTTGTTGTTCTTTGAATCCTTGGAATGCGAACTCCATCGAATTATAACGCTCTTCAGTTTCATTATGTGGTGGTGAATGGTATTGTTCATAAGTGCCAACTTGCGAATTGGAATATGGTTGTTGTTGTTGTTGTTGTTGTTGTTGTTGTTGCATTTGGAAATCGGGGATATATTGGTCGAACACTTTTGGCGAATATTGTTCATAATGTGAAAGTACCATCTGAGGCTGATATTGAGAATTATCAGTGTATAATAGTTCATCAGTGTTGCCACGGTGTTGATTTTCTTTAGTATCGGAGTTGCATTCGAAAATAAAGTCGTCCTTTGAAATGTCTTTGATCTTTCTGCTTAACGTTTGTTTCCTGGTGTGGCGCTTTTTCGTTGGCGAATTCGATTTCTTTTTGGGTTGGTTGTTTTGTAGACAATTTTGCGCAGTTGAGCAGTTCTCTTGTGTTTCTGTATTTACTAAACTGTCTAGTAAGTTGTAAATATGGTCTATCGCAGCCTGGAGTATCTTTGCTTTTGAAACTCTTTTTGACGGGTCCTTCACTTTCAATGGTACATGTTTCCTTAGTGCCATAAATGCTTCATTAACACTATGGACGCGACTTCTCTCACGTTCATTCCTCTGTGCAACAAATTCAGTTGGACGCTCGCTGTGCGGAACATGAACCCTTTTCCTTTTAGACTTCGACGCAGATGATTCTTTCTGCATATTGTACGATTCCTGAAACGCGTCCGTCCTCGGTCTTACCATTGTTTCAGTTAACACTTAACAAATCGGTAAGTACTTTCACCTGCTTCTTCAACCGCCAAAATTTCCGTCTGCTGCAGTGCTCAAATGGCGGGAAATGAAGTGTGCCTTCACAGTTGCAGTATGCAGAGTCAGACTTATAACGACTATAAGTTAGTATTTTGTAGTAATAGTATTGTACGGTATCGCACTGAATTTGGCCGAATTTCAAGGCACGCGACTGGATTGTCCAAATAATACTTTTTTCACCTGTTTCTGTCTTATATAACCATCTTTGATCTGGCCAGCGCAAAATCACCTATAATGTTTGAACTGTTTGACCAATCAGCGACCAGTGCGTAAGACCACGTGGGGCGGGGCACACGAATGGTTGTTTGCTATAATGCAGGCATGGCCAAGATATAATCATTTGCAGTACGCTACCCATATTCTACCTACATGTAATATCATATATTGTAATCGATGATTATTGCATAATTGAGGCGATTCATTGCTGATATTAAAATAAATTCAAAGGGTACAATCATCAATGAGTATTATAATGAATTAAACGAAATAATGGCAAACACTGCATCTTGTAAATCATGAATGGTAAGCGCGTGTTGTTTTACCTCCCGTTGCCAAGATAATCCGCTGTTGACTAAACAGCAGGCTTAGGCCCTGCACAACATCGCTACTGACTTCTAATTTTTATTGCCAAACAATAATTAATCCACGCTTCAAATATGAAAAAAAGTTCGCCGAACTTCAGTGGGGACACTCAATTTTGTCTGTCTAAGTCTGTTTTTCTGGCAATAAGTCACTTTTTGCATCTGCCTATATGGCGTTTCTGATTGGTCGATTTACATTCTGAACTGTGACCATTTTGACCACATTTGAAGTGCTGGCTTTATTCCATTTTCAAGTACATGTGTGTAGAAAATTGAAATGACCAAACATTAATGAAAATGTGTAAATGAATGAAGACATAAGTTAAGTTGGAAATGTGGGTATCTGATTGTTGTTTTTATTTTTAATTGTTCTAATCAGATTAGATATAGGCTCAAAAGGTAGGCACACGTTTGACACGCGAAAGTGAGTAAAACGCTTAGTTGAAGTGGTATCACCTACGATGTAACGACTGCGCTTTCAGCTTTTTAACGATCTCATGAACTTTTCTTACCGCAAAACAATAAAATAAAAAACAGAATTGTCACATGTCAGTAATTTTCTCACCACTATTTAGTTATAAACCCTCTTGTTTCTCGAATCTAATTGTTTGGGTGTTGTATCACATATTGAAAGCTATTGTCTCAAGCCGTCACGGTGATGAAACCTCACTTATCGCACCATGCTGTACCTTGGTGAGTGGAGAGTTTTATTTTTCAATCTGTCATTTGCAGAGCAAAAACACAAAATTGAAACAATCCACTTATCCATTCCAATGTTTTATATGACACTTTGATGACGGCTGAAGATCATAATCTGTTATGTGTGTCAAGACTGACTACCTCACAAAGCTTTGGGCAACGAGGATACATAAAATCTCCAAGATTGACAGAAACTATGTTTAGAAATTGTGACCACGGGTTAAGTTTTTAAGCACTTTTACATTCACATTAATTAATGGAAAAACATGGTATAAGGCGTGTTTCAATACTCTAACTGCAGAACTGAATCATTCTCAATATAATCTAGACGTGCCAATTCATGTCTTGTTTATAACATTTCCCTGAATAATCCCATATGACATTCAATCGTAATTCGATTGTTTATTTGATATGTCATAAAGTCATATTCAAATACATTTCAGACCACAAGTGACACCCTCCAAGTGACAACTTCGGGGAATCGTAACTCAAAAAACTTTTCTCAAAAAGGGCGCCCGTGAATATCATTTTATTATTACAACATGTATATCAGTAATTCTTATTGAGGATAGAGATACCAACAACATGGAATATTGAAGCATTTTACTAAATATAATAAGTCCCCTAAAATATAATGCACCTTAATCTAGGGATTATTTTTCCAGATCATTTGAAATACAATATATTGGATACTTAAGAAGCAGCGAAAATTTCCCGTGGTTCATACCAAAATAAAAAATACCATTATTTTTCCATATAATCCATCACTTGAATATATATGAATAGCCTAGTATAACTAGCGAATTTATTAGCATGAATTTAGTATGAGGTATCAATACGGAAATGAAAAGGCTACTGCCCCACGTAGTAATGCGTACAAAGGCACTGCGGCATGAGAAATCATGCTTGCCCTTCTATTAGTGTTTTTCTAGTGGAAGACATAAAGATATGATGAGAATCAGAATGGCACAACAGTGAATTTTCCTGATAGTGTTCCGATCAATAATTTAAAATGAATTACACGAATGATATAGTATACCTCTTGCCAAGATATCCCCTATATAGTTTTAATATTCATAAATACATGTGAATTGAATACCCAAGTGTGAGGATACGTAACTTCAAAGAAATGATCAACTTATTGGGCAGGTGATTTGAATTTCTGCAGGTAAAATGATTACTTTATTTCTCTTACTATTGAGCCCACATATTCGAAATTCAATCAATTGTAATTGTATTACAAGGAGCGACCAGTTAAAATCAAGCATAGTTAAAGGCGTATTATTTATTCGAAAAATAATCTACCAATTGCAAAATGATGAAAACCCCATCAGGTGCTCAATATGTATTTTTTCGAAAAGCATGCCCCTAATTTGTACTCGCGTGAACCCGTATTTTAAAGTTGATCGGCGTCCAAAATGATCAAGTTTGTCTTGCTTTCATTCAAAATACATGAAATAACAAGGCAGTGAAAAATACATCCAAACCGGGAGTATTGTCTTTTAAAGTTTTTAATTATAAGGAAAATGCAAGTTTTTAAAAATCATCATCTGCCAGAGATCGTGTTAATTATTTTATGGAAAATTTGAATGCTAAATGTTATAAATAGATTCTTTTTTATTTGCAAATATGAAATTCATGAGAAAGATAACATAAATTGTGGAGGACCTGTACTGCATTATTGTCGCCTTTTCTTACGCTATTTCATTATTAAAAAATGTTAATTTAAAAAGTGATAAACTGTTTTCCAAACAAGGGAAAGTGGTTTTTAAATGGATCATTGAATAGAGATCTATTCCATGATCCATTTAAAATCCACTTTCCCTTGTTTGGAAAATATATTAACTTACACAGGTAAACTGGTAAAGTAAAATATCTATTAATGATGTCATATTGTTAAATATCTATTATTCTCCTAATTTGACACCGATACCCGTGTTCTTCAAACTCGACTGGCGCCCAAAATGAACAACCGTCTAGCATTTTCTGAAAATTACAATATGACAAATGGTGTGTTGTTTATGTCATCCCTAATTTGAGATCATATAGGCGAAAGAATTGCTCGTAATTTTACCACAAAACTCCACGTGTATTAACTACATTTAGCAGCCCTGCAGGCCCGTAGCCAGGGGGGTTCGGGGGAACCCCCCCCCCTGGCCAAAATTTCATTCAAAATCATGCAGTCTTTCACCATTCTGACCATTTTTTGTGTGATTTTTGGCCAAATATGCCAAAGTGAACCCCCCCTAGAATTTTTAGGAAAAGTGAACCCCCCTTGGAAAATTCTGGCTACGGGCCTGCCCTGTAAATGCTAACAGGTTAATTTACCACCCTGGTTCAAAGGTTAATACATACCCTGCGCGCAGAGTCTGGTTATAAACGAAGCTCTCTTTTAAGAAGGAAAGTCGAACGAATGCAAAGGGTAGTTAATACATTATTATATTTAACAATGCCGGTGATAACAATTTGTGTAAAAATATTCATCTTGTATGAATACGAAATATAGACTACGACTATGTCATGATCAAAAGCATTAGGAACCTTTTAACGTTGTTCAATGTTGTTTTACATTTGTCATTGCTTCAGCATGAAGCCATGGATGAGATGTACAAAAATCATATGGGGTTTACCCTTCGGATTCGTTCGACCTTGCTTTCCAAAAGAAAGCTTTGCCTTCGCGTAATTTATAACTAGACTCTGCGCGCAGAGTATATGAGTTTTGATTGTGACATTAATTCCTGAATGGATTGTAGGGGGTTTTACTTGGTGCAATTATCATATAGTTTAGGATATTGGGTGTTTGTTTCTCATTTCAATCATTGAGCTCTTACTTGTTTCTCTCCCTTACTTTGTTATGAAATCATCTTTTTTTCTTCTCTTTAGGTATTTGTGCGTACACATTGGAAACATTCCATTTTAGTGAAAAAGACTAAGGGAGCATTCGCGTATTTAACTGTCGCTCAAACCTACTATTCTGTGGCATATAATGACAGGTACTATACATACATGTACTTAAATAAGTTGACCATAAAATTGTAAGTTAAACCGGCAGCCGTCAGATGAATTCACAATTGCTACCAAAATCACTGCCGCGGCGAGATGAAACTGACTGCTCTTTTAAGAATATGACAGGCAAAGTTCATTTTAAGATATTTTGAGATTGTATTTACTTGAATTTGTATCCTTTGAATTCAATACGGAAATAAAAACTTATTTCTACTAAAAGGCAAAGAAATTGAACTTTCAACATTTAAATCACATCGTCAATATTCGCCGTTAATTTCCCTAATTTGAAACCAATAATCGTGTTCTTCAAACTGGACTGGCGCCTAAAAATGAAAAGCAATTAGTATTTTATTGAAATTGAATTAAGATAAACAATATGCTGTTTATGTCATTCCTAATTTGTTATCAAATAAGCGGAAGAATTGTTTTAATTTTGCCATTTTCATTAACTACATTTAGGTCTGCTGTGAGCACCGAATCTGGTCGCCCAATTTCTTGTATATCACGCGGTGATTGCGTACGTAGTGTACACCTTCAACATCTTAATTTCAGAATTTGAAATGTGGGGACTGAATCAAATGTACACTCCCCACAAAATATTTTGCAACATCATCTTCTTTATTCCCTACTCCTTGCTTCGAAACCTCAGAAATTGTGACTAAAAATCATCAAATATATAAAAAGGGAATATGTTTTTCAAACATTTTCAGGCTTTAACACACTGTGAAAATCGAGTCGGGGGTTTCACATTTTGGAGGGGGTGTACAATTTTACAAAATCTTAAAATTCTATGGGTCCCCTTTTCTGTTCTAGACGAGTGGAGGCATCTGATAATTAGAAATATTGATTTCGGACTATTTCATTCAAACAGTAAAATGTCACTTTTATATGCACAACAAATACACTAGTACATGTATGTATATAAGCCGAGGTGGGTCAAACTTTACATGGTTGGAAGGGGCTTTAAGACTGATGCGAGCTGAACGTTCACGCACAAAGTAAGGTCACGCAGTTGACAAATAAAAGTTAGCAAGATAAAAATTCATTTGATTAATATGCACCAGAAGAACAAACTGATTCAGGATGTTGTTAATATTAGATTACAGATTAGAAGAAACGACGTGGTAACAAATATTTATAAAAAAATATAATTATAATTTATTAATGACTGCTCATATAATTAAAACCTACATGCATTTGTAAGATTTATATACAAATATGTACATTTTTGACCAATAAATACATGCAATATTATGAAAAATAGTTACATATAGCATAGCATCCATTCTATTACAACACTACCACAGCATCTAATTTGATGACTAGTATATATTTCACCGTTCAAGCATTGACTATGCGTTATCTATTTCACAGTTCAAAGCTCATGATGCATAAGCATCATAAAAATGTTAGTAACTTTGATTCAACGAGTTGAGACTATTTGGATGGACGGTCCTTTGTGCAGTCTAGTATTTAGTCTCTGGATGAGGTATTAAATTGTTCAATGTATTTTCAGAGAGATCGTCATCCGTCAGAGGAAATGACATATCAGAAACGCCCGATGTTGATTTGTCGTCTCCGAATCCGGAATCATTGGGACTCAGCGGAAGGTCGTGTAGCCAAGATTCTGTCATCTGAAGGAAAATAGAGTGAATATTTAGACATTTTCCAGCTATGGAAGTTAATGAAATGTCAATCAAATATGTAAAACTTTACAAAAATATTATTTCCGCAGGAACGTCAAATGAAAACTTGATGCGTGAAAAGGTTGACAGTTGACATACAAAAGTGAAAGTTGACATACAAAAGTGAAAGTTGACATACAAAAGTGAAAGTTGACATACAAAACTGAAAGTTGACATACAAAAGTGACATACAAAAGTGAAAGTTGACATACAAAACTGACAAAATGATCAAATGTACTCACTTGATATTGATAAGGTGTTCTACTTTCAGGGTTTCGGAAAATCGTCTGAACGGTATTTGGGTAGTACTCAGTTGCATTTTGTTCCGGCACTGCTGTGTTCGCTGGCATCCACGATTCAGAGAGTGATGAATGGCCCATGTATTCTTGGACTGCAGGCTCCATTTGGCTAAAATGTCGCTCATTGTCAAACTGGGATGATGCTTCATATTGTCCGTAAGCAGAATTTGGCGAAGTGGTGAATTGTTGTTGCGTGGTTTGGAACTCTGAACGATATTGGTTGTACATATTTGGCGAATATTGTTCATATTGAGCGAGTTGCATTTGAGAATGGAACTGTGAGTTATCGTTGTACAACAGTCTATCTGTGCTTTTATGAAACTGATTTTCCTTAACTTCAGGAATGCATTCGAAATATGATTCGGCCGTTTTAGTATTTGTGATTGTATTAGATGCAGTGTGTTTCTTTACTTGGCGCTTCTTTATTTGTGTCCGAGATTTCTTCCCCGGCTGGTGGTTCTGCAGGCTACTATGCGTAGTTATGCAGCTCTCTTGTGATTTTCCATTTTCAAGACAGTCTAGTAAGTTATGAATGTGGTCTAGCGCCGCTAGGAGTATCTTTGCTTTTGAAACTCTTTTAGACGGATCCTTTACTTTCAATGGTACGTGTTTCTTCAGGACCATAAATGCTTCATTGACGCTATGGACGCGACTTCTCTCGCGTTCATTCCTCTGTGCAACAAATTCAGTTGGACGCTGACTATGTGGAATGTGTATTCTCTTTCTTTTAGGTTTCGAATATGACGATTCTGCTTTCATATTAGTTGATGCCAATGTGTCCATGGTTGTTCCTACCATATTTTCAGTTTACTCTTAACTGCTTGACGTTTGTTTAAAAATAATATAAATCGAAATCGCATTGAAGATGAACGAACATCCAGGTGAGACTTGACTGACCAAATTAAAATTTTACTGGCTTATATAACTATCTTCGAGAAGATGAAGACAATCAGCAATTTGCTTGACCAATCAGCGGTCGTTATATAAGACAACATGGGGTGTAGGCACACGAATAGTTACCGAGCTCGGGTTGTGATACATACGGGCAAGACCCACATTTCTTTGCTATTATATGAAGTAGCTACCCCCATAATATCGCAATGATTAATATTCTCAATTAATTGTATATTTGAAAAAGGACTGTGAAAATATGTGTAATACTTAATAATAAGCAATGATTTTAAATACAATAAAACTAAATAAGACAGAAACTGCATATGAATTGTCAACGCGTGCTGCATTGCCCCCAGGTGTGAAGACATTTCTCATTGCCTAGGAAGCAGCGTCTCAAAAATTCTCCGTTCAAACCATTTTCCCTACTTGGGTGGACTGACTGTTTCACGCCAGCCCTTTGCGCAGAATTTCATTCTGTGTTTTTATTAGCCGACTTTGGGATTTTATCTAATTTTCACATTAATTTAATTTTGATCTATGGGTCTGTAAATATATGTTTTGCTTGAAGATTAGACTATTCACAGGGGCCAGTAACTTCATTGTATTGTAGTGTACCATTGACTACTTCATATTGTATTAAAATTAAAAGTATAAGGTCAAGTAAAATCGTGTCATTGTTTAAAAATACATTTGTTACTCCGCATTAACACAAATAAACATTCGAATCACTTTAGTGTCTGTCAGATTACTGTGGCAATGTTTTAAACATCACCCTACTTGGCCCGACCAGATTAAAAATAAACTGTCAGGTAAAAAACATTGGAATATGTCAAAGTTGTTTGATTTTTTATCTTGCAAGGTATGATTTGAAATTGAACAATTGTGGAAAGAGTCTCAGTTTTGTACAACCTGCTCAATATTGAAACAATTAAAACAAGTTGAAAACAAGATTAAACCAAAAAGTGTTGAACCACTGAGTGACATACGCTAATTTCATTTTCTTAATTGATTTGCTGTGAGAAAGGCTTGTATGGCCATTTAAGAAGCGAAAGCACAGTGGTCATATTGTGGGTGATACCACTTCAACTAAGCGTTTTACTCAAATTCGCGTGTCAAACGTGTGCATACACCTCAGGATTCCTTCTAGATTTGGATTATGACAATGGGATAGCATCTAACTTGGTTTCATTCGCGTATTGAAAGGTTTTACCCTGTGGTAAAGAATTTTACTCAAACCTCTAAAAAGGAACTCAGAATGCGTTCCACGATAAACGGCTATTTGGTATATACATGATATAGTCTGCTTCCTTCAATGAAGCAAGGACTTAAATAAGTAATTATTTTATGATTACGATTCTCATTTTAAAACGATGTCACTTGGGCCACATGGATCTTCAAGTGCAGCAATTACATTAATTTGATAAATACATACAGTTAGATAAACAGTTGGATTGAATAATAACAATGGGTAATACCATGTAACTTTCTTTCCTCTAAAAATCAGTATTAAAGGTTTGATTTAACTATAGTCATAAAAGTATTCTCTAGGTATCTTAAAGGAAGTAAAACGGATAGAGCCGAGATGAGATCAGAGAACGTTTTGAAAATTGCCAGCATTTTAAGCAATACTTTTGCATTCATTTAATGTCATTCCAATTTTTCCAAAAAATTCTGACTTCATATCAGGAGAATCCCTTGCTTTTTGGACATAGATCGGAAAAGTAGATGTAGTCTTTCGATTCTGATAAAAAAGTTGATAAGATATCAACATTTTACAAAGTCTTATACCTCCAACATCATTTAATTGAAAGAATCCAAAACGTTTGATATTTTGGGGACAAATCCCAACCTGAATGCAATTGCAATCACTTCAAACTTCACACTTGATGCCAAAATTATTCCTAAGTAATTGTTTAGAGTATCATCCACGTGCATTTACCATGGGCGATAATACTGACACGCGTTTTACTTCACGGTATATTTACCACGTCGCTGGGTTTAACGCAGACAAAAATGCGCTTCTCAAATTACGACTGGAATGATACTTAGTGGGTGCAATTAAAACATAACAAGCAGATTGTTGTATATGTCATCCCTAATATGATATCAAATAAGCGGAAGAATTGATGGTAATTTTACTATCAAACTCCACGTCTGTATTAACTTTACGACGCTGGAGTATATCTAAATACAATTTATAGCGGTATTTTATTCTGTGCCACGCGATGAATCTTGTACCATACTGGCGTAATAGTAACTAAAAATCCATAAGAATGAAATGGGTCAAATATCAATGTTTGATGTACCTTGAGATTTCTCTAAACCTCCTCCTCGCCAAGTTCCTTAACTTGATTTAGCATGCGCACTTATTATATCATATATTATATGGGTTTTGTATTGAAAAAAGTAATTTCAATTACACTATATTGACTTATGGTTCCACTAGCAAACCCGGGACCCATTCAAAAATCATTGCCCCGAAATATCTTATATGCATTTGCAAAGTGAAAATATTTATTCGTTTAATTAATAAATATCTATTTTTCAAATTTCATTTATTCCCCTAATTTGAAACAGATACCCGTTTTCCTGTAACTGAGCTGGCGCCGAAAATGAACAACTGTCTAGCATTTATTAACTTTACAACATGACAAACAGTATGTTGTTATATGCGCTAATAAATTGAAACATATTTTTATAATGTCATATCGTTAAATCTCTGTTATTCCCCTAATTTGTAACAAATACCTGTGTTCTACAAACTCGACTGGCGCCCAAAATGAACAACCGTCTAGCATTTTCTTAAATCGACAATATGACAAATGGTGTGTTGTTTATGTCATCCCTAATTTGATATCCAATAGGCAGAAGAATTGCTCGTAATTTTACCACAAAACTCCACATGTGTATTAACTACATTTACCAGCCCTGTAAGTACCAAGATTAATTCCTGGTTTCAATAAGCTAGGTTAATACACCAAATATATCATACAAAACCTCTTGGTTATTTTTTCTATATATCTCCGAGATTCAAACCCTAAATGTATTAACAAAGGTAAGTAGTACTAGAACTACATGCGATCCCATCATTTCAGATCTCTTAAGACTTGCAAACGCCTAGCAAAATCGTCTTCAGAGACGCGGTGCTCTATTGGAGCACATTATTTAGATAGCCAACGAATGAGCCATATACTACCTATAGTGGTGAAACTTTGTCAACTTAAAGAAAATTTAACTATCTTTAATTGAGCAAACTTTATCGGTTGAAGAGATATTCATTGTTGTTTTTGGTACACCCTGTAGTTCCAATTTCTTTTATCAAAAGTATAGCTCCAAAAAATATTTTCCGGAACATTATCAGAGGACATGGGTAATCCATTCATTAATTTTGCAATGATTATATTATGCAATATCGACAAAGCTATTTCTCAACATTGTGAGATGCTTGCCACTTTAAGAATGTCCACTGGAAAAAGTTGAAAATGGTGAACACCAACCCTAGATTTTACTCTACAAAATGTAAAGTACTGTTTTTGTGAGTGTAAAAAAGTTAAATATTCCAAAGCGAGTTTGGGAAGAAACCTGATTTTCACATGGGATTCAATGAAGTGCCACGCCCACTTTTGTCATATATTGACACTTTAGGGGTACCTTGCTCAGAAAAAGCATACTAACCATGATTTTTGAAGTTTTAAAATCCATTGTCGCCTCGTTAGAATCCCAGAAAATGTTTGAGAAAGGGTTAAATTCTACTTTAAAAGTGTTTACATTGTAAAGTCGCTTACTCGTATTTAGACTGGGGCAAAATTGAATTTTTTGTATTTTGAAGGCAAATTATGAAATTAAAATTTTATGCGTGGTAGGTGGGGGTACAGCGCATACACGGCGTGATACATAAACCAAGGTGACCAGATTGGTATTATAACCTCGGAACTCACAGGGACGTAAATATAGCTAATACACGATACAATAATTCTTACTTCATTTGATGTTAAATTAGGAATAACATTAAACGCATATCGTCATATCCACTGGCTGGTATCGTTTGTCCGCTGTGATAGAGTATGTAATTTTTCATAAAAACACTAAGAAACCACACAATTTATTTTTTACTCATTTGTTTCGTTATACCAAAGAAAATGACTTACTCCATGCAATGGATATATCATTTGCGGGTAACTTTCACTTCTGATTGAAGTCCCATAACGCTAGGAGGAAAAGCTATTGAAAATAGCGCCGGAGTATCCTACTCCAAAATGTACCATTTCTTTTTTTAATTTTTTAATTGCACTTTTAGTGACACGATAATATTTACATATGTTTTCAGCATAACTTTGAAGGTATTAATGAGATATTGATTTTTTGGGTCTTTTTAATTCTTTTCATATAAATAATGCTTAATTTTTTTGTTCGCTGTGACGTAGCAGTTACAAATGTGAACTCTGAAACTGCTCCGTCACAACGGACAAAAATGTAAACATTATTTTTATAGAAAAATTAAAAAGACCCAATACATCCTGATCTTATTAATACATTCAGAGATATGCTGAAAACATATGTAAATATTATTGTGTCACTGTATTATGGCATTAAAAAGTTAAAAAAGAAATTGGACATTTTAGAGTTTGATACTCTGGCGCCGTTTTCAATAGCTTTTACTCCTAGCGTTATTGGAGTTCAAATAGAAGTGAAGGTTACCTGCATATGATTCAGCGATTACATGCGGTAAGTAATTTTCTTTGATAAAACGAAATATTTGAGTTAAAAAATAAATTGTGAAGTATTCTTAGTGTTTTTGTGAAGAATAGCTTGCTTCGCCACAGCGGACAAATCTTTCGATACCAGCCTGTGATATTGTAATTTTAACAAAATGCTTGACACTTGGGTCATTTTTTAGGAACACGGGTACACGGGTATAAAATATGTTTCAAATTAGGAGGAATTAGAAATATAACTCTCTCAAGTAGTATATGTTTAGACGATTTCAGAACATACAACATGATAAACATTTATGAAAAATATATATTATTTATTAACGACTGCTCGTATAGTTTTTGCTACATGCATTTGTAAATTTTGATATATTAAATATGTACATGAACATTCGTAGAACAATAAATATATAAGATTATTTTTGAATAGCTTCATCCTCGAAGAACCGTTATGTCCAGCAATGCACATAGCATCCATTTTGCTACTATATAAATATAGCAATTGATTCAACTTTTGGCACATGTGGAAAAAACATCAAAGTTATCACAATGCTTTAATAAACAGTAAAAGTGCTCTTCAATCCACACTAATAAAAATGATAATAAAATTATGATCTTTCATGTTCATGCATTGCCCATGAGGATTATGAGCAACGCGACATTTCACAATCCAAAATGTCGCTCTTTATATATGCAAATCTTATATTTGAAAAGTCCAACATGAATGTAAGATATTTGAGTGTTCTTTCAGCAGTTCAGTTATTGCTTGCAAATTCTGTAGTGAAAGCATGCGACACATTTTCTGGAAAATCGTCGTCCATCATCGGAAAGGATATTTCAGAAACACCGGATGTTGATTTGTCGTCTGCGAATCCGGAATCGGGACTCGGTGGAAGGCCGTGCATCCAAGATTCTGTCATCTGAAAGAACAAAATGTAAAAGGTTTATGTCAGGTTCTGGACGTAAATGATGCATCAATCCAAACACGCCAAAACATTAATACAATGACTTTGTGAGAGGCTACAAGTCTAAAGTCTTAACCGACATACTTGAAGAGGTGACATACAAAACTGACAAAATATTTTGAATCGATTAAAATTTACTCACTTGATAAGGTATGCTGGTTTCTGGATCATTAGCAAAGGAATAAGCGGTGCTTGGGAAGTATTCTACTTCATTTTGTTGCGACACTGTTGTGTTCCCGGTCGTCCATGGTTCCGACTGTAATGCATGGGATCTGTATCCTTGGCATAAACGCTGCTCAGTGTTAAACTGGGATAATGTCTTTTGACATTGGTCATACGTAGAATTTATTTGAGTGATGTATTGCTGTTGTTCGGTGGTGCGGTGGTAGCCTAGGCGGTATTGGTTGTACATACTTGCCGAATATTGTTCATGTTCAGAAAGTTCTATTTGTCGATGGCACTGTGAATTGTTGAATAATAGTTCATTTGTGATCTTATGGTTTTGGTTTTCTTTAATGTCAGGAATGCATTCGGAATATTTTTTCGTTGTTGTCATTGTAGTAGATGCATTGTGTGTCTTGACTAGGTTCTCATTATTTGGTGTCACTCCCGGTTTATTGTTTTGTAAGCTGCTTTTCTTAGTTGAGCAACTCTCTTGTGATTTTCTACTTTCTAAAATGTCCAGTAAGTTATGAATGTGATCTAGCGCAGCTTGGAGTATCTTTGCTTTTGAAACTCTTTTAGACGGATTCTTTACTTTCAATGGTACGTGTTTCTTCAGGACCATAAATGCTTCATTGACGCTATGGACGCGACTTCTCTCGCGTTCATTCCTCTGTGCAACAAATTCAGTCGGACGTTGACTATGTGGAATGTGTATTCTCTTTCTTTTGGGTTTCGAAAATGATGAGTCTTTTATATTGTTTGATGCCAGTAACGTGTCCATCGTAAGTCTCACCATATTTTCAGTTACCTCTCACTGTCGTACCTTTTTAGATGCTATTGCTAGCTAACAGGTCCACAGGTGTTTAGTTATGCAAAACCCAAATTACCAAAGACTTGATTGTCCAAAGGAAAATCACCTTCTTATATAACAATCTTTGGGGAGATGAAGACAATCACACTTTTCTTAATTACGTTTGACCAATCAGCAGTCTTTACATATGACAACATGGGGCGTAGGCACACGAATGATTGGTTGTGCTGCATACGGGTAGAACCCACATTTCCTACCTTTAATCTAAAAGTAGTTGATTAAAATTAATCAATAGTACAATTGAAAATGATTGAAAAATAATTTTAAACAAAATAAAAGTAAATACAGAGACCGCGTGTACTGAATGATCAACGAAAAATTGCTCTCAGTTGTGAAGACATTTCTCAGTCGGGCCCCTTTGAATTAGTTGTTTAATTGGCAGTGTATCTGAAACCTTCCCTTTTCAATCTTTTTCATTGGATCGCTTCATCTTTTTTTGTTTTTAGCCCCTTGGCCTTGGAATGTGTTATCCTGTACCAAAAGTTCACACCTTCCAGCGAAAAAGTACATTCCGACAACGAGGGGAACCGCCTCAATCTAAGTAATTCATTGAAACAATTAAAGTTTTGAGCAAACCAAAAAGAGATTACTAGTCAGCCACTGAGTGACATGCGCTAATTTTGGTTTTTCTTTTAATTGATTTGCTGTGAGTACGGCTCATATGATTATATAGCACAGTGGTCATATTGTGGGTGATACCACTTCAACTAAGCGTTTTACTCAAATGCGCGTGTCAAACGTGTGTCCGCACATTGGGAATCCTTTTATCTTTGGCTTATGACAATTGGATAGCACCTAACTTGGTTTCATCCGGGTATTGTATAATATTACCCTTTTTTAGGAAGCTTAACTGTGTATCTCAAATAGTGGGGTTAGTCCACACTCTTTCAATCAGGGACAATTCTTCGATGTGGCTCTTCCATTTCAGCATTTGGTAGCTCAGAATATGTCGGGCAAAAACAACTATTTGTATTGATAAATAGCCTGCGTCAGTGAACAAATTATTTTTTGATTACGTGGTGTCACATTAGCCACATGGATCTTCAAGTGCAGCAATTACATTAATTTTATGAAAACATACGGTTAGATAAACGGTAGGACATGTAGGAGGGAAGTGATAAAATCAGATCATATCTTGTTTAATATATTGGTTTAAAAATAACAATTATAACTTTTTACAAAAATCTTAATCTTAACTTAATCCAAAATTACTTCATATTGTTTTCAAAAGTATTTGACAATTCATCGAAAACGGAAGATGATACTGACACGTATTTAACTTAAGGAATATTTACTGCATCACCATTTTTTGCTGAGACAAATTAAAAAATAAGTTGCTCAAATTACATAATTACAATATGACATGACAGTATGCCGTATGTAAGCAGCATGCTGTTTATATCATTAATTTTCTGATTTGAAAAATAAGCAGAATTGCTCGCAATTTTACCACAAGCCTGTCTCAAACACCCAAATTTAAATCCCGACTTTGGTTTAATTAGGTTAATTTGCTAAATTATGTAATACCATGCTGGCTGTAATGACTAGTCTTGGGCATACGCAAAGTTTGCACAAGTCTGTAGTTTGTTCCGTGTAATACCAGCCCATCGAAATCGACTTTAAGATCTCTTTAATTATTTGAGACTAAATAATCTTGACTACAATGGATGATACCTAAATGGGTGAACAGTCTTTTCAGCTAAGCTACATCAAAATCAGAGATGTCACTTTTCTCAGTTAATTTCCTTTTGAAACTAAAATGTTCTTCAAACTAGTCTGGCGCCCAAAAATGAACAATATGACAAACACTATGTTGTAAATGTCTTTCCTAATATGTCAAATGAGCGGAAGAAACATTGCAATTTTACCATCTGTATTAACTACATTTACGACCCCAGTGAGTGCTGAGGTATAGTATAGACCAGGCAAGCGTTTTAAAAATTCGTGATATCATGAGGATAATGCTATGTCATTCAGGTGCTAAACCATTTTTTCAGAAATTGTCAACTTTTTGGCCTGTCTATGTTAAAAATATGTTTTATCATGTTTTAAATAGTATGTACATAATTCACCATTACACTGGTCAGTATCAAGCGAAGGTAACGGACGTAACCTTCGCATCCAAGATGGCGTACGGTAATTGTCGATTTCGATATTTTTTAGTTTTATTGAATTAAACTACTTTATAGTTGACACTATGCCACAGTTGCCAACTCCCGATTTAAATCGGGAGATTCCTGTTTTTTTAACTCATCTCCCGCGCAATTTTGCCATCTCCCGATTTTCTAATTTTGTAATTTTTCATCATCTCCCGATTTTTTCTCCCGATTTCCCCCGATTTCTACAAAAAACTTCGCATGTTTTAGGTAAAAATCCCCCGATTTTGTCTGTGTCCTCCCGTTTTTTCCTCCTACCTCCCGATTTTTAACTTGAATCCGAGTACTCATCGATCGTCTCCAGTATCTTACATAAAAGTCAATTAACTCCAGCGACATCTAATCATGAAAAACAAAGTTAATCTAATATAAATGTCCAATCAACAACAAGGAAATTAGCGCATGCGCAACAATTTTAATCAGTAAGAGCGAATCCATCCTTTATTACGATCCCAGCGCATGCGTATTACGTAGATAATCTCCTGAGTGGAGGTGATAAGAATCTGCGCAAGTATGTCCGTGAAACGGGGTAAGAATAATTTTGTCTATTTATGCACGATTGCGTAAGCCTACCAAGATTGAGCATGTATAGATCTATACATTAAGAGAAATCATGTTAGATAAGTTTGAATGATTTTACCATTGAAGTTTGTCAAAGATTGAGATTTATCAGTCACATTTACGGTAAGCTTTTTGGTTTTTCCATCCTGGACCAAGGAGGATTGGCTCCCAGGATGCAACATCGATACCGATACTCCCTATGTCGTGACTACAAAATTCGAATTCAAACTGCATTTTCGTTTGAAAATAAGACCAAAATTAACGATACAAATGTTGAAGTGAATAAAATAGCGGCTGTTTGAATTCGAATTTTGCAATCATGACATCAAGAATATCGACAGAGTATCGATGTTGCATTCTGGGAGCCAATCCTCCTCCTCTCCTGCTTTGACAGAAGATCTCCTGTTTTTTACTTAGTATCTTTACCAAGAGAAACTTCCTGTTTTATAAAGAAGTCTCCTGTTTTCTCCTGTTTTTAAAGAAAATATCCTGTTTTCTCTTGTTTTTAAGGAAAATATCCTGTTTTCTCCTGTTTTAAAAGGAAATACCCTGTTTTCTCCTGTTTTTAAAGATAACCTGTTTTCTCATGCTTTTTTCAGTAAAAGTCTCCTGTTTTTCTCCTGTTTTTCTCCTGTTTTTTGCAAAATATCTCCCGGATTCTCCTGGTTTTTTTTAAAAAAAACTCCTGTTTTTTTCTCTGAGAGGTTGGCAGGTATGCAGTATGCTTTGATATTTGAACCAAATCAGGCTCATGGAAACTCTGAAGTATGATAATCTGTTCATATATCGTCCGTAGGCGCCATAGCTCAACGATATTTTCCACTGCTAAGGGAAGGTAGCCGGAAATATATGAAACAGTAACGGTCGTGTTAGTTTTCAATACGCGCTAACTGGACATCTTAGTGTAGCTCTCCATTATAAAATCTCATAAGGTAACCGCATCACCACATATTAGTTATCTTATCATATGTAAAACCAAAATCCCAGTTACCTTCCCTTAAGCGGTTGAAGATATCCTCGAACTGCGGTATGTATGAACAAATGATCATACTCCAGTTCCCATATCATATATGCCTGATATAGTTCAAATATCAACGCATTACGTCAACTCTAACGTAGTTTAATTCGATGAAAACTAAAAATATTAAAATCGTCACTTTACATCCGCCATCTTTGATGCGAAGGTTACGGCCGTTACTTTTGCTTGGTACTGATCAGTGCATTAGATCAAACGAGAACTTGGGCTGTGAATCTTTTTTCTCTGAACCCCTTTCTGCACTTATGAGGTAATTTCTTAATTTCTTAATACTGAAAATTAAAAAAGTTATTGAAGAAAAAGTGACCATTGAACAATTCTGTCCGGGCTACTATATTATATAATTTTCAACCAATGTTCTGTTTTTTTTCAATAGAGAATGTTAGGATGTTTGTTATGCGTTGGTGTACATTATGGCTGGACGATATGTGTGAGTGACAACTAAAATTTTATTTGAAATTAATTCACAAATTCACAATAGTGACAATAATAAACAAAAGGTCCTTCTAAAGTCTTTAATTAAAAATACTAGATATGCTTATCTAGTCACACAAAAACTTCAAAAATATCTTTCAAGTAAAACCAATTTCCTTTAATAATCGATCGTCTGACATATCGGCAATTATTTAATAGTGGCATTTATAGGTAAATTCTACTACGTAGTTCTTATTGTTCGTGTTATTTATGGAAACACTTTTTACTACACCCTGAAATACTTTACGTAACTTAAGATTTCGTAAATAAGTGCATATGAGTCATTAAATTTTTAGTTCCAACTGTTTCCCATATTTGGTAATTTTTTCGTTTGGTAAGGATTCTGTGACCTCGTGGATAATCTGAATCGTATCCTCGTATTCTGATTGGATATCGCTGGTTTCTTCATGAAAAGCTTGAATTGGGGACATTATACCAAAACGCTCTTTATAACACCTCGTTGGTAATCTATATCGTATCCCCGTTTTCTGATTGTATATCGCTGTTTTCTTCATGAAAAGCTTGAATTGGGGACATTACACCAAAACGCTCTTTATAACACTGTTGGTATTTCTTTACCCTTCCCTTAACCTCATTCAATAGTTGGTCTAAACCATCCGTCATATCTCTGACATCGTTCCCTGTGTCTGCTTTTTGGTGATTTCTCAAACCAAGTATGCTTATATCATTCAGTGATTTCGATTTCCTACGTAGACAACAGCGTAACTTTTGGAATCTCTCGAGTTCTTCTGTCGCATCCATAACATCTTCTGCATTTTCATTTTCAGATGTCTCTTTGCGAGATTTTGATTCGTTGAATTGGCTAATCTCGCGGTGATCTTTTCCAGATTTGGCAAGATTTGGTCTTATCATATCAGCTGCACCGGCGGAACTTGTACGCCTACGTGATCTATAGCTGGCTCGTTTCAATAAACTATCAAAGGTAGATTCCAAAAGATCTTCTTCTTCCTCAACCCGTCGTGGTTCTTCAGTAGTAGACGCATTGGTTGTTAGCACTGAAACATTTATATCTCCTACCGAGCTGGACCTTCGATGAGATTTGTATGCTAATTTCGAAATTGCTCCATCTAGTTCGAAATCAGGCGTTTTAATATCAGATTTAATTGGGTCAGAAGCCTGTAATGGTCTTTTTGTTGGCATATCGGCAGCTCCAGCAGAGCTGCTCCGGCGGCGTGTCTTGTATGCCAGCAATTGGAGGGCTTCATCAACAGCATCTTTCTCTTGTGGATGCGTTTTTGATCTATCATTATGTGTTTTCGGGGATTTGGGATTAAACAAACGAGAATGGTTAAGTCCTGCTCTTGTGTACCTGTTCAAAGCGTTCCGTGTTTTACTTAGATCTTCTGCAATGACCTCTTGTTCGTGTTTCAAAATCCTTAGTTCATTTTCTTTGCGTTTGTCAATTTGTCGTTCATGCTCGACCAATTTTGCATCTAGTGTTCGATTTTTTATTTTAGCATTCAGAAATTTATCACTTGTTCCATAAACAGTTGCTCGTCCTCCGCCACCCTTTCTGACAGTAAATGACATTTTGTTAAACACTAATATATCCTTTTTGTATACGTACTTCAATTCTATATTAATCCCGTATTGGTGTAATCATTAAATGGTTATTGCTTAAAAATTCAATGTCACATGCCAAAGTTGATAAAATATAATTTTGCCAAATACTGGCTTGTTAACCTCTACAATTTATTGTAATGTTTATGATTTTGAGCTTTTCGTGTTTACAAATCTTAGCAAATAATCTGCCAATGCACTACTTTTGCAATTACAGGCAGTAAATAAATATGAATATCGGTTATTGACATAATTCTTTCAAAAACACCTTTGTTACGCTCATACAACAGTAAATATCAATCAAACCATGATCAAATTGAATTTAATATCACTCCAATTTTTAAATGCAACAATACTCATTCATGTTTATTTCAAAGAAAGCCAAATACCATTATATTTGAAGAGCACATCTCTTAACTATATACATTTCTTTAAAAACACTTCATTTGAAAGTCGCAGTTAAACCTGAAAAGAATGCAAATAGGCCGAGTCCTCCACGCAAGTAAATCAATAAACTATAAATGAAAACTCACTTCTTTTTATCATGAGTAAAAAATGATTTATTCTGTGAGCTTACAGCACTTTGTTTGACATTATAAGAGCATTGATAACCAAAACAAAATGAATCCTGATTATATTCGTAAATCATTCATTTAAGGTTGACCTTATACAAGAACATTCACATGTGATGGGTGCTGTAGAAACATGCTCTCGTGTCGAAGCCTACTCATAAAATAAATCATGTTGTTTTTGTTTATCAACTCTAGAAGCCCCAAGGTAAAAAAAATTTCACCAACACCTAAAAAGGTCAAAAGGGCACCCCCTTGTAATTTCTTTTAGTAGAGCTAGGATATTCAAACTTTCCACAAATATACTTCATCTTCAATTTGGTGTAGTACAAAACATGTGCCCTCGACACCCTTAGTGAGTTACCCCCCATAAATGTGAGGTTGATTTTTCATTTTCAAATCACTCCACAACTACTTGTGTATTGAACACTTGGGACTGTAAAACATTGTCAGTAGAGTATTGACACAAAGCTGAATTTTATCTCAATAACCACTAATCCTAACCACTAATTAATTTCCAACCCCAAGATTTCAACAATATATTTTAATACACTTTTTAGTTTTTCAAAGATATCTACAAAATTCCATCGCAGTTTTGTCTTTACATCGTATTTTCAATCACAGCCATCACTTTTCAAATGAGTTTCCTTGATATATCAAAAGGTTATGTTATTTTTATATTGATAGAACTATATGTGACTGCCATTCACCCTTTATTAAGCAGTAAAAAAAATGTCTACATGAGTGTCAAAATCTTTCTAGTTTCCTGCTTATTGTCGAGTCTCGTATCGTGCAATTGTAATTTTGTGTGACCTGTCTGCATGGGGTGTTTCAGTAAAAGTTTATCATATTGGAAACATTAAATGTATTATTTCTATACAAATTGAAAAGGACCGGTCCTGAAACAGACCCTTGAGGGACACCACTTATGAACCATTCAACACTACTCAATGAAAACAGTTCAAGTTTATTCTATTGTATCAAAAGCTTTTGAGAGGTCAATGATGTAATCGGTAGAGTCAAGACAAGTTATTTTGTATAGTGGTTAGAATAGTGTTTTGGCTGTTGCCTATGGTGTCTTTTACCATTCTACATCAAATAGACTAAAATTGTCTTCGTATACATCTTTGTGTCCCTGTTTTCCTGAGGTGATTTTTAAAATAATGCATGTCCAAGGAATATAATTTCTAAGTAATTCTGTCCCCGAGACAACTTATTCTTAATTTTCTAGATTTACCTGTCTAAGCGGACTATATTTTCTGGGTGCCTTTGTTTAGTTTAAGTTCATTAGTCTTTTGAGTAGAGAAATGAAAGGATTTGCAAGTGGTGAGGCTAACCCAAGTAAAACATATTCTTAATCTAAATCAAATGAGATTGAAAACAGGAAAAGAAACTACAAAATCATATACACAACGGAAGCGGAGTGATGTATTTAAAAATAGTGTTCAACAAAGAGTATGTAGGTGGAACCGCCAGGTAAACCAATACAAGAGATGAGCATTGGCACATGGTAGTTTGGCCATGCAACTTTGAGGAGTGTGTACTAGTCTTGAATGATGCTTTACAGCACATTTCATTGTTTTATTTCGTCAGTAAAGCCTAAAAAATAAGAAATCAAAAGTTCATTGTGCAATAATACAGTATATGGAAAAATATAAATCCTATTGTACCTAAATGACATTTTTATATCTTGGATTGCTTCTAGTTTGGCTAATAAAGTATGTGGCCTCTTATATTTTGATGCTTCTCTGCCATAGTATTTTCAAAAGGATTAACATGGCTGAAATTCTTTAATTAAAGAGGGCATAGGCTTATTGCACAAAAAAACTAAATAATCTGAAATCTACAAATGTCATTCATGTACAATATGAATATACTTTTTCATATATTATTGCACAATGGTCTCCTGGTTTCTTATTTTTGGGGTAGTACTGACTAAATAAAACAGTGAAATTGGCTGTGCATTGTGGTTGATAAGCCAGATCCATCAGTATATGAAACCGTCTATTTGAAAAGAGCAAATGGAGCAGAATTCTACAAGCTTACACATTGCAGTAAAGTAATTTGTTAATTATGTATCTATATTGAGTAGATATGGACGCCGATGTGTCTTATCCTTTTCATTCTTTATGTTTTATGTTTCAAATTGCACTGCGTCAATCGTGTGTAATAATTTGCATGCATTTTTTATATGAAACTTTTAAGTGAGTTCAAACAAAATGACAATATTCCAGTTCCACAAGTGGAGTACGTTTTGGAGTTGACAACAGGAACATCATGCCGTTGACAAATGCCGAACGATGCCGGTGGTGGGGTCAAAATCAAATACTTCGCAATGAAACATATTTCAGACAAGCAAAGAACTATACAAGTAGTATACATATATCCCACAGATGATGCAGTAAAAAGAAACGTAACTATTTAAAACGCAGAGGACTTTTGTAAACGAGCATCACTTTCCCAGTCCACTAGAATTACGTTTTTGTATATCACCCCTGGAAACGTCGATGACAGTAAAACAATAATGACTAACTGAGGCGAGGGAATAAAGCCCTTGAAAGGCACGTTTCTAGTCGATGCCGTATATTCATAATCTCCAAATATTGTTTGGGTTAGAGACCAGTCATGTTACTGTGAACATTGTAAAATAGATTTAGAATCATTGTGTGGGTGGATAAAACATACACTCAAATCAGATATTCCCAAGCACACCCAAACACTTAAAACTCTAAAAAGTATCTTAACCCAAAAAGTGCAATCGAAAGAACAAAGATATGCGCCAGTTGTGTTTAAAAATCATTATGACGACATGGTCCGAAATTCCTTGGATTATGTGCAAAACATGCAAGTTTGGTATCACAAATCTAGAGAATGTTCGGGGAGATCTGGACAACTAAATGCTAAAGACAAGTTTTTTGCTTTAGTATTTGTCCAAACCTTAGACATATGACTGGCAGATTGAAGAGTAATGTAACAAACTTTAATAATATTTTTTATAAAAAATGATGTTACTTATCTATGTAGCTTCCATCTAGGTTACAAAATCAGTTACATATATATTCCGATTTATCATATTACAATACAATTTTATCATTTTTTCACTTTTCATTCTGAATTTTTCATGTTTTGAATTTTCAAATTTTCCAAGGTTGATGCTGCAACCTGGGCCTGACTTGTGTGTTGTGTTGTTCATAGTTTAGGAAATTATGATATGTAGTTGTGAAAGTCAAATATCAACACAACTCACACATATATCTTCCTAGATAGTTCTCCAAGTCAGAATATTTGATTTGATTTTTACCTCAACAAGCAAAAAATGTACAAGATGGTTTAATCCTTTGATGATCATATAGATAAGGTAAAGCTCTGATTGACATTCTGAATAACAGCAAAATGACTTGACATTTTTGTCATGGTTTCCAGGACACTTGGCCAGCCTAACTTTGAAAAAACAAGCTTAATGAACATAAAGGGCACAACAAGGGGTTGTTGTTTACCTCATAAAAATGTCTATCACATTTGATGAGGACGACCAGTACTAAACCATCTTTTTAAATATCTACAGCTCATAGTTTTCATCATGTCCATAGGCATAGATCCTCATAATTCTTACTTTCTCCTGGGAGTTTTAGGGTTTTCACACAATTCCGAGTTGAAAGAACTATTATAGTTAGGGAATATGATTCAATTCCAGCCATCCACAGTGTCCTTTATCCAACCTCATTGAGGCTCCAAGAAGAAGGGAGGACCATCCTCCAGGCAAAGTTTGTTAAAGTAATTAACTTTTTCAGAAAATGTTACAAGAAGTAAATTAAATAGTACATCGGAAAATTCTAAAGAAAATTATGATAATAAAACAACCAGGCAGAAACTATCTGAAAAATTTAAGTAATAGAAGAGGAAAAATAAAAGATTAAAAAATTATCACAATAAAAAGACATCTTGTGAGACAAAAAGGCCAGATGTCTTAGTGCACAGAGCAGAAAATCGAAATAAATAAAATGAAACACGTCAGAGACAGACGTTAACAAATAAAGGAAGTACATTGTTGTATAAATCAGTCATCAAAAAATTCTGAAAATTTTAAACATTGTCAACTTAATGGTCATCTTCTGAATAGTAACAATATAATTTAAATACAGGGTGACAAAAAAAACCTGGAACCCATAAATCATCAAATTTCTCGGAAAGTATTATACCTACATTCTTCATTTCTTCAGGGTAGAAACTAGACTGAATGCATGACAAAATGACCCAATAATGAGTACTGTAGCTTAGATATTAATCATGCCATGGACGACAGAAGAAAAGACTTATATTGTGAGAAAGTATATCGAGACAAAATCCTATAAAGAGACACAAACTCCCTATATGAGAGATCACAGGGCAAGAAGAGCCCCTTGCAAGTCACAGATCTTTAGGCTTGTACAGAAGTTTGATTCAGAAGGAACTGTAAAACCAACAAAGAAGAAAAGTGATGGTAAACCAACCTATTCGGGGAGAGAGAGGTCTGTCAGAACTCAAGACAACTCAACAGTCAACTCAGAACGTTACA